GGAGCAGGGAGCCTGATGCGGGGCTCGATCCCAGGACCCTGGGACCATGACCTGAGCCGAAGGCAGACGCTTAACGACTGAGCCACCCAGGTGCCCTGGGCCATGAAATTCTTATGGTGTATGTGCTTGGCTCATTCTATGAACTTCTTTGGGTTCTTTGGTTCTTGGTGGGCTCTCTAAATCCTGGCTCTGGTCTGTGGTCAGCGCCCACACCTTGTATATCTGAAGGAAACACGTACCTGAGGTGTGAGGGAGTTAATGAGGCCAAGGCAGCCTCTCATTTGTCTGCTTTCTTCCTTAGACTCTTCTTCTGATGCTTTGGGGGCTGACGGAGGACCTTAGCTAGGAGCTGCCAGGGGCTGTCAGGTGAGGGAATAGTGCAGGCAGGAGTGAGGGCAGGAAGTGATGGGGCAGAGAACAGGCCCCAAGCATGAGGAAGGCATGGAGTAGAGCATTGGCTGGTTAGGCCGCGGGAGACAAGGGGTGAAGCCAAATCTAGATGTCAAGCCAGTGACCCTTGTGGAATTGGAGGGAGGTCGGGGAGCAGAACACCTACAGATTACAGGGGGCCATCAATTCAGTGGGTGCTGTATTAAAACTACAAGGAAGCCCATGAGTATATAGGTGGCTCAGGGGCAAGGGAATGCAAGGGGCCTCTGTGGTCCTCTGAATGGGTCACACCGGTAGGGTGGTAGGAGGAGTAAGTATAAGCCACTTAATAGCAAAACTGTATAATAGAAAAATCTACTGTCTGTTATTACTGCTCTGTTATTGTTTATTTCTCATGTTTCTGCAAAGTACAAGTTGTACTTGCAATCCAAGGCTATCCCATCAAGTTGCCTCATCTGTCAAAAATCTAGCCATAAACTTGGGAAGGAAGTTAAAAAAAAAAGGGCTTTTGAGCAGCCACAATGGATGGCCAGAGCCCAAGCACAGAGCCGTGCACTGGGTGATGGTGGGGGAACACCTCTGCTCTCAGTCCCCGCCCTGGAAGACTTCAGTGAGCTGAAGCCGCTGGGACCCCAGAGCCGCTTTAAACCTAGCTCTTCAGGGGTTTCTGGAAGGGATTCAGGGGATGCTTATAGGAATAAAAAGGAGGAAGTTCAGATGAGCTTTGCAGTTTCTAGAACATCACCAAGCATCTGCTCTCTCTGGGACTGCACAGTTTCCTGTCTGCCTCTCCCTGGGCCTCTGCCCTGTTCTCTTTGTGGGCCAGCTTCCTCTCCTTCTGCAGGGCCCCGTGGCCCCATCACTTGATCTTGTGCATGGCATTCACTTCTTCTAGCGCCCCTACTACCTTCCCTTGAAGCTCGAGGGTCCACCACTAGCTGACTGTAGTCTTTTTTCATAGTTGCAATTTTGAAGGTATCTGAATGGTCCAGCTCCCTTATTTAGGTGAGTTGCTTTTAAGTCCAAGTTCCACCCTTTGTCCATCAGGGGGAGGCCCAGGTGTGAGTATGGGTTGGGTAGCAGGGAGACAGGTAGAATGACTTGCCTATTTGAGCAATATTGGAGGTCTGCAAGCCACCTGCCAAAGGATTTAAAAAGCACGGATGGAACCCCACATTCCCTCCGTGGTGTGCAGATTGCTGTGGCTGGAGTGTAGGGTGCATGGGGCGGAGTGGCAGGGGGGCTGGTCAGCTGGGAAGGGGCATGAGGCTTGGCTTCCCAGGGTCTTTGCCTGGGTCACAGGGCCACAGAAATCCATGAAGTCTGTTTAGACAGATTATGTGGAGAACTACCCATGTCTCACTGAAGGTTTGGCCTGGAGCCAAAGGAGGGATAAGAGAGAGATGGAGAGAGGCGGCCTCCCTCCAGTGAGTCAGCGGTCCCCTAGTCCCCCAACCCTGGGAGCACCTTGGTCCTGTTCCCTGGGGAAGGCTGGTTACAGGCAGGCTCCCAGGTGGGCCCCAGCTCGGCTGCATTTCACATAGAGATCTCTTCCCAGCCTGACCCAGTCTCCGCACCGTGTCTTTGGCCCCTGGTGTTTTGTCGGCATTAATTGTAGACAGCGGCAAAGTGCCCAAATGCTGCAAGTGGCTTTTTATTTTCTCGTGTCACCTGATGCCTTTGTCCTTTGTTCTGCTCACCCTGAATCTTTGCGAGACCTTGACATTTCCATACCCTCAGTGGCTCACTTCACCTCCGCTTTCATCTGGTGGTACTTCCTCTTGGGGTCTGCACTCTCGTGGCCTGACTGTTGTTTCTCATGGCATCTCAGGGTCTCTTCCTCCTGGACACCACACTTGTGTGTTACCACGCCTCTCTGTTCCTCAGGGCATTTCTCACCTTTTCCTCCTTCCAGTTCCTTCTCACACACCCCCTCCCTAAGCTTGATTAGGGGAGCTCGTTTTATCATCAGGTCTTATACCTGGGCTGAGCTGAGTGTGAACACGACAAGTGACGACCCAGACTGCTGGCACTGGGTGCTCATTTGCACTGGAAATGTTACACCTGGCGAGCGAGGATGTGGGGGAGGGAGGGGCTGGGCGGAGGGGAGGGAGGGGAGGCCAGGCCCGGGGCACTGGGTCACCTCTCGCCAGTGCCCGGAGCCCTTTATATGGCACAGAAGTCCTGGAGGCAGCAGGCCAAGCCTGAGACATTTGGAAACTCTTTGACTGGGTCTTAAGGAAATAACCATGGGTTTCCCCAAAGATTTAGTTTTACGAACTATTTGTAATTAACAAAAAACCACTGGTGACGGCCAGCCCTTGGGGGTGGGGTGACAGTTCTGGTCTGGCCACCGAGGGACAGGTTCCGTAGCCCCTGCAGAAGACTGCTGATGACATTGCACTAAGCCATGCCTCGCTTTCTTGCATCTTTGTAAAAACTCCAGATCACCAAATAAAACCAGGAAGGGTTTGTTATCTGTAGTTATCCTGGAGAGAGAAGAATAGGTCATTTTTTTCCTTCTGACTGAACTCTATTTTCTAAAATTTCTAGATGGGACATAAATTTCTTTGACATTCGGAAGACCAACAGTTACTTGAAAAACAAATGCCATCCACCCAGGCAGCTATAACAATATAGGGGTTGGAAACTTAGTTTCCGTTACAAATGCTCTCAAAATAAATCAGGAGTTGAATTCACATTTGTAACATTACACCCACTATACTGTTGGTCACAGGGAGGCGGGGCAAGGGTGATGGTATATTGGTTGATTGAAACCAGCTATCTATAAGCCTTATCTAAAAATGAAACTTGGGGCCACAACCGTAGTTTTCTTTTTCTTGCTGTCCTTACTGATAACAGAAGGGAGCACGGGACTAAGGGACTGTGGTAGTTTGCTTTGCTTCACCTACAGCTCACTGAAATTGTGCAGCCACAGGAGGGGTAGGTCTGGGCGAGCAGATGGGCGGCTTGAGCCCTGGGAAAGCGGCCCGGCTCTCTCAGGTGGGGCTGTCGTTCTGGAAGGGGCTCCAAAGGGTCAGGAGTGACCAGGGCGGGGCGTGGGAGGAGGAAGGGTCCTAACCCTCCTGCATGTGTTAACAGACGCGCTTCTGGTGCTCTGTCTGCAGCTTTTCTCTGTGCGCCTGTGGTTTATTTATTTATTTTTTCTCCTCTCCGCAGGCAAGGTAGAGCCAGTTGTGCAGAGAGGGAGAAGCAGTGAGATCCTGGAGCCCAGCTGAAATGAACTGGCCTCCTTGAGCGGTCCCAAGCCCGGGTGCCAGGCCTGTGTCCCAGCACTGAGGTAAGACCACCTGAATCCCAGCTTGGGGGCATATAAGAGGGTGGAAGCCTCCTCCTCTGGGGAAACCTCTTTCTCTAAGGCTCAGGGAGAAGGAGCAGTTGTTTCTGATAAGTCAAACCGTCTGCTTCCACTTCTGCCCATTGTGGGGCAAGGTCATTTGATGGCCGAAGAGACTTTGATTTTTTAGGGCACGGCTTTTGGACTCTTTGAACAGAGAGTTGTATTTTCTCGGTTGCTGGTGAAATTTGAACTCCAAAGGGCACGAATTTGTCCTCCAGGTGAGACTGCACTAGATTCAGGTGAACGGCTGAACTTAGGTGCACCTGCTCTGTTCTGCCAGGGAAGTTGGGCTTTTAGGAAACTCTCTCTTTCTCTCTCATGCCCGAGGGTGGCAGAAAGAAATTATGTGGGGAGGTGATTGCAAAGCATTCCACTCAGCTCAGTAAAAAATGACTCATTACCCAGGTATGTTCTGACTGTAAAGGTAATACGCGCTCATAAGATATTTGGGAAAATACAGATGCGGAAGAAAATAAAACATGCCTGAAATCCAACCACTGTTAACAATCCTTCAGGTAGGTTTCATGAAGGTTCCCCTTTTTAGAAGCCAGGAGAATTCGCTTCTAGTCCGGAGGCTCTCAGAGAGCTGATTTTTAAATATTCAGGAATTTTGCAAGCTGCTTGTTAAACATTGTTGATAGCCGGAAATTGGCCATGGTGGGGAAGTTTACAGCGAGGAAATCAGCCAGTGCTACAAACCAGGGCCTTTTGGTTTTGGAGATTCAGATTACAGGCTTGCTATGCCACCACCAGGCTGGGAGGCATGAAGCAAGTCACCCCCCCTCCCCTTACACCCTTCTCCCTCCTCTCCTGTGAAGAGTAGGTACTCAATAAGCATTGGTTGAATGGATGAACAAGAGGGGGATTTCTGTTCTTATTATCCTGGTAAGACAGTTGTGAAGCTCCCTGCCCATGGGAGGGGGTTTAGTTGATTAGTAAACCTTTGTTTTATCAGTGGAGAGAAGTCCGCTGGCCTTTCCCTGCCTTGTCGCTCGCTTCTTGGGGAATCTGTGAATTACTGACGCCCTTTTATAAGGGCAGATAAAAACTCTCCTTTTACTGACAGACATCTGGGGCATATTTCCTTCCTGGAAAAATCAAGGAGTTGGTCAAAGAAGTGTGAAAAGGAAGCCCCAGCGCTGCTAGATGTGAGAGCCAGGACTGAAATTAGAGCTTTTGACTCTTAAACTCCACTGGGGGGTGGGAGTGGGGAGGAGAAGGAGCACTTCCTGCCAAATGTGAAATTTAAACAAAAGCCTCTTTCTTCAAGGCCCTGCTGTGGGCAGATTAGAGCTAATTAAATTAGCATAATGGAGCCCCAGCCTCGGCCCTTCTCCCTCTACTTTCAGAACTTTTGGGCTCCCTGCCCCCCTTCCCCCCCTTCATGCATCCTGGAGGAGGGGATGGGGAGAAGCTGGGGGCATCAGTTAAGCATCAGTTCACCTTGTAAAATTGTAGTTCATAAAAATTAAAAAGGTGGAAAGGACTAGAGGGGCCATTTGGTCCCACACCCTCATTTTAAGAAGCCAGGTCACGCCACTGGTGACTGTTAGTGGCTGAGGGGGAAGGTACTTGCTCCTGGGGAGGCAGAGAAGGAGGCTGGTGGAATGCAGCACTGCTCAGGAAGCCTCCTGACCACTGAGCCCTTGTATGTGACTGGCAAGGGGACATGGTGGATGGTCTCCAGGGCCAGCCCTGCCTCTGCCCTTCTCAGACCCCACCCCGGTAGCTGCTGCCCCAGCCCCCATGCACTTCATGCAGTGGTCCCCTGGTGTGCTTGGAATTAAGACCCCTTCCTCTTCAGGGGTTTGGTTCTCCAGGTCAGTGAAACTAGCTGGGCAGATCTAATTCTGAGGACTTTTAGGTGTGTGTATGAGGAAGGGCACGGAAGGGTAGGGAAGGCTTAGTCATGGCTCTAGGCCTTGTGCTTCATGCTCTGTCTGTAGGATCTCACTGAACTCGGCAATGACCTAACAGGGTAGGTTTTTCTGTTCTCACGAGGCTGATGTGGAAATGGAGTCTCTCGCAGAGGTAAAGAGACTTGACCAAGATGGCAGAGCCCACAAGCAACCGAGATGTAAGCTGAGCCTGGCTGGGACTCCACAGCTTCTCAGAATTAGTGGGTGCTCTTCACAGCAAGTTGGCGCCTACATGGGCGGGGGTTCCCAAATGCAGTTCCCACAAGCGGGGTCCCTTCCCTCGGGGTACCTCATTCCATCTCTGCTGCTCTGTGAACAGCTGTGGTGGCAGTGCTTGGAGCTTCACGAAAGGCCACACTGTTCCTCTCAGACCCTGAGGACTCTTCAGTCTACAGTAAGATAGCGTCAGAGCTGGGAGGTCCATAGAGTTCTTTAGCATAGTCCCCTCACTCATGTGACGCCCCGGGAGGTGAGTTGGGGTGCTGCTGGCCCCAGGTCTCTGAGTCATCTGGAAGCAGAGGCCTTCTTAGCCTCTGGACTCCCGGTGCTCTTGCCAGGGGAACATACTGAGATGGATCTGTTTGGTTTTCCTCCATGTTTGGGTAAGTGATTATTCCTCTGGCAAGAGGGATTTAATTCAGCTTCACAGAGATTGTGTACCCAGCCACATATCCTGGCCTGTTTGGGCAAGAGATTCTGGCTCGGTCTTGAACATACAGGCACGACAAGGGACAAGGGGAGGAGCGCTCCTACATTGCGACTGTATACGACATATATGAACCCGTAACCATACATCATCTCCAAGAATTCTAAAGGGAGAAATTGTCTGTGTGTCCCAGGGCTCACCCTGCTAACGAGGGAGCAAAGCAGCAATGGCAGGTCGGGGTCTTTGGAAGATTATTGCAGAGGGTAGGGCTGGGGGGAGGAGGCAGAGTGGCAGAGGGAAAGATTTGGTTTGGCACTGCCAAGTGTCTTTGACTGTGAAGCTGGGGTTGGGGATGGGGGAGCGGGGTGGACAGTTTCGTAGATAATCAAGAATCCTTTTCCTCTCTGGCCCTTATCAGCTTCAGGAGGAGGAAAAGCTCCTTTCAGCAGGGTGCTCGGAATGTGAATCAGGGCTGAAAGAGGTCCTTGGAAACCTGGTTGGTTGGCCTTCACATCTTCCATCTAAGGAAATGGAGGCCCAGAAAGGGGAAGGGCCTTGTCTATGACACAAGTGGAAATGGAGTCTGTTCTCCTGAGTGTCTGGCCAGGGTCCTGCCCACCCAGCCACTCTAGCTGCCCAGGGAAGGATGTTCCCAGAGACGGGTACAGCCCACTTCCTGCCTTGGCCTGTCTGGCCCAAAACCTGTGATGGGCTGGGTTTGGTCGTTGAAGGAATTTGTGGCAATGGTAGGCCAGAAGGGAGAGGGTGTCCTCTCAATGATGCCACAGATCCCCTGGCATCTCAATGTTGCCAGCCCTTCATCCTCCTCTGTTCACATCCTAGAGGTCTTGTTGAAGCCGGGGGTATCATTTCTGGCTTCTTACTGGAAGTTCACCATTGTTGGAAGACCTCACAATACAGAGACAAGTGCCCCAGCTCTGAGGACATTTGAACTGGGTTTGAGACTCATTTGGCCATACTTGCACGACTACCTGGCCTTTCTGACTCAGTTTCCTCAGATGTAAAATGGGCTGAATAACCCCTACCTTGAGTGAAGATTAATAATTATTTATATAATGCTTTTCCCACAAAGTAGATGCCTGCTGAAAGGTCCCCATTCTTTTTTTTTTTTTTCATACAGCTCTATTGAGGTCTAATTGACAGACAACATATTGAAACCTCACAGCTTGATGAGTTCTGACATATGTATACACTCATGAAATTCTTCCTACAGTCAAGTTCATGAACATAACCATTACCCCCCAAAGTTTCCTCCTTTACCTTGTCCTTCCCTCCTCCCAGCCTGCCTCCCATGTCCTGCCTCCCATTCCCAGGCAAACCATAATCCGCTTTCTATCACTATAGATTAGTTTGCATTTTCTAGAACTTTATGTAAATAGCATAACACAGCACATGCTCTTCTTACTCTCAGCACAATTTTTTATTTTTTATTTTATTTTATT